AAAAAAAAAAAAAAAAAAACAAAGAACTATATAAGAATCCATCATAAGCAACACAAACAACTATATTCCCTTGCAGCTCTATAGTAAGAGCAACTCCCCATCCCAAAATGCTTGACAACTGTGCTAACTTTCAGAGAAAACCGGACCACAAGTTCTGCCAGCAGTGGCAGTCAGATCCAACTTCGACTGATCCTCCAAAACATTTGACAACTGGCCAAAATATGAAAGCGCGGGAGTTCAAATCGTCGACGTTTTCTTCGACCTGAAACCAGAATGTTTAAAGTAGTCTTCAAGTATTTCTAGGCACAATATGGACCTGCCTGAATTGTCAAGAAATCTCTAGACTATCTTCTACTTTATCGCCATCAGCAAATAATTAGTAATTTCCTTTCGACAAGTAAAACTTCAAAACTCAACGCTTAAGCTTCACCTCCTTCTTGAGCGCGAATCGCTTCTCCATTTTAATTCCAACCAAAGTCTACCTAAAGAACATTCTAGCGCTACTGGTAGCTTCAGTGGATACCCAACTAGCAATAAAAATTTTGTCTTAGTACCCATCTGTCCTGCTTTCTACCCTGCTGCATCTTTAACTTTTGTCTTGCTTGCCTAGTAGCTCCTTTGGAAGCTGTTAATTTTTAACTCCCTTTCTGCTTACTTTGCTGTTTATCTTAACTGCCTGCCTGAACAAATTTATTCCTTCAGCCTGTAATTAAAGAGTTACCAATTGCTAACTGTTTCCTTAAGTCTAAAAGACGTTGTTTAAACGGTCTCAGTCCCCAAAAATAACTACTGGAACTTTCGTCATTAACGCTTCTGAAAAGTTGAACGCCCTAGAAATTATATGGAAGACTGACAAACTTCCAATCTATTAAAAAAAACGCTTCGGATGCCGAAATCTTCCACTACTCAACATCGGTAAATTTAAGGGTCACGGAACTTGGAGTATTAATACCAGAAAGGATGTGAAAACTTCTACGAAGTTTCAAGAAATGTTGGTGAGTATCAGAAAGTAAACTGCCAAACCTTTCGCTTTGTCTCCTTTCACAACTATCAGGATGGAAGAAATAATAACCATTTTATGATCATGAGGATTTTTACATCCCTACATTGTCATAGAGTAGTTTCGTAAAATTACTGAAACCTTTACTTAAAAGTTATTGTTATCAGAAACCTATATTACAAGCGTGCAATGAGATATTAAAACAGCACCTTTTTTACAAGGCTTAAATGACCCAGCTGTAAATCGTACTGCCGGCTGACGACGATGGCCGAGAGTTCAGTAAAAATAGGCGATTTTCTCAAATAATCCGTCCCAGAATGATCTTTCTTGGCATAAAGTACAAAAAATAGCTATTAATGCCTTAGAAAACGCCATGCTTCAACAGCTTGATTGCCACAGCAATAGCAATCAGCTCAAAAATACTGCTATCTTCATAGAAAGCGATAATTTTTTTTCACCGGACCGTTCCCTTCCGAAAGCTAGAAGATAGGAACGAATGACCGGAACCACTGAATAACTGCAATGAACAGAATAGAGAAGGAAATTGACAAACTCACATCCCATTAACCATAATCTACCAAGATTTATAGGCATTCAGATGCTGTTTTTAGCCTGACTCAATCTCGATATACTGGAGAAGCTTCTGAGCCCAACCTATAATTTCCTCAATGACAGTGAAGTTTCTTCATAGTTTTTCTGACCTGCGCACTAGATACATCGCTGTAATAGAATGTTTTAGTTTAGATACTTACAGTAGTAATGCGTTTTGGCTTTCTTCCAACACGTCGGGTATTTTGTTTAGGTCTTTAGCAATGCAGCTTGAATTTGCTGCTTTACTTAGTAAGCAACTTAGTTTTTCTGATTCTTTAAGAAGTGCTTCTTGTTCCTGAGGTTGTCTTCCTTCGGTTTTTGAAGCTGTTTATCACATGAGGACTTTTTTGTGATATATTTCTACTTTTATGAATTTTTCCTTCGCTTGTTTCTTGAGCATTAAGCGCCAAAACTAATACCTTTGAACATTGACTTTCTCACCATAGTTTCTGTTACCTGGTTTCTGTTGAGCTGCATCTTATACATCAAAGTGGTGTTGTTTGTCAAAGTCTCTTCTCGGTCATCTAGTGGAAAAAACAAACATTTATTTATTTACGTTATTTATAGAAGAATTTTACACCAAAATAGTAAATGAAGAAAGGATTTCAGTGACCAATTTTGAGAAAAAGCATAATGGATAGAGTGCTTCTGGATGCAATAAAGTGACAGCTTTGGAAAGTCTAAATGTAAAAAGTTGTGAGTTGGTTTGCAGTTCAAGTTTTGCTAATGAGAATAGTCAAGCTAATAAGATTCGCTTGGTAGTTTTTCTTGTGCATGTTTGAGATTTGTTTTAAAATGATAATGGACGTAAAAATGGATAGTCCATGCGAGGATTCGTTGAAGTTCGCTTAGCCTCATTTCAGTTCTTTTCCCGTCTTTTTTCGTGGCCGTATTCATCGCTTGGACAAAAAATTTACCTTTTAGTGGCTTAGTTTCTTGCAATCATTTTCATTAAATAAAATATTTTATACCTTTTTATCTAGGTTCCTAGCATTTTTCTGAAGTTGATTATTTAGTTCTGAAGGCTTTTTATCTTTGAAGTTAATACCGTAACTCTCGTGTTTGAAAGTATCATTTGAAAGTCTGGAATAACTTTTTGAATAATTTTCTCAAAGCATAGCCGATGTCACGATTTATGGGACTCTTGATTTCTGTAAAGCGGTACGTAAAATGAATTTATCAGATGAAAAAATAGCTGAACTGACCTTGAGGCTGAATTCTTCGCTTTACTGTTGGATATGGAAGCGTTTGTTCGTTTAAATAAAACAGTGGTTTTTTAAAGTTTATAGTTTAAGGTTGTAGGTAAAAAATGACAAATACACATGGTTATCGGCGTGGCACGCGTTATATGTTTGCACGGGGTTTCCGGAAGCACGGAGTAGAACCGCTTTCTACATATTACCGTGTCTATAAGAGAGGCGACATTGTTGATATTAAAGGCAATGGTGCTTTTCAAAAAGGAATGCCATTTAAGGCATATCATGGACGAACTGGTCGGGTCTTTAATGTTACAAAACACGCAGTTGGAGTTATCGTGAATAAACGAGTTCGGTTAGTTTTTTTGGAAATTCCATTTCCAATGACCAGCACTTTTTTACTTTTTTTGTGTCATAATATGATGAGAAGAACTGAGCTTAGGTGGAGAAAGTTTATTTAAGAAAATGTGTTCTAACTTTTAGCTGTTTTTGCACACAGTCCCTTTACTTACCTTTTGTACTGTTACTCATTCAGAGTTTCCTTAGTGTAATTCATTTGTTATTTGTTTACTTCCCACTGAGGAATGATTATTTCTAGAAACCGAATAATTGCAAAACGAATTAATGTGCGGATTGAGCATGTTAGACCATCAAAATGCCGCCAAGACTTCTTGAATCGTGTTAAAGAAAATGAGCTGAAAAAGAAGAGTCACAAGGAAACTGGAGTATGGACACCTACTGCCCGCAAGGTTTGTCCTTATGGTGTCATAAGGAAATTTTTTCAGAATTTAGCGTTTTTAGACTGCACCTTTTAAACCGACTTCGTAATTTGCCATACTTTGTTGTAAAGAATACATTCTCAGAAATCTGGGTGCTTTTAGAGTTTGTTTTTTATGTTTCACGGTCTGTCGGTTTCTAAAGATACTTCAATTATAATTTTGCATGCCATGTAAATCATCATTTTTAGTTTTGAGTAATTTACGTTCTTTTTTTTTATTTCTCTAAGTTTGCAGTTTTCTGACAGGCATTTGGAGTACCGCAATTTTAGCTCACTTTAAATTTAAATTTGCAGCCTGAAGAACCAAGGAAAGCTCATTTAATAAAGACGAAGCGTAATAAACCTCAGTTGTTGCGTCCACTGAAGTTCGAAATAGTCGCTTAGACATAATTGTTATTCTTTTGAACATTGTTGTTTTGAAGAAAGGGTGATATGGAATAAAGATTATTAAACAATGTTTTTGTTTCCAGTAATGCTCGTTTTGTCGGCTGTGGCAATGTGGCCCTTATTACAGACTAATTCATTCAGAAAAAGTATGTGATGTTGAACAGAGAAGGTGAAGATATATTTTAAAGCTAATTTTCTACTGCACGGATGGTGCGGTATTTCTACACAGTGGCGGCAGTCGTGGTACTTGCCATTCGCTTTTTTTATTAACGGTATGCAAACAGCGAAAACGTGGTACTTTGGGAGGTTAAAAGTCTTGCGGCCATTTGAGTAAAGTTTTTTTCTGTTGTAGAAGAAAAGTGTCCGCGTTTTTCAACTATCATATAGATTTAGAGATGGTCTGTAGAGGGTGAAAATACGAGTGATACGTCATCTACACAGTTGTGGCTACGTTGAAAGTCTATTTATGGTCGAGTTTTGAGAGGTTTCCTCTAGTGATTGACGGTTTGTAGTTTTAGAATTACTAAAAGTTTGGTTAAAAGTAATTGCTTGAAACAATTCTGTAGACTCTGCTGTTTGGCGTGGGAAGAGTGAGTTGATTCAGGCATTGTTGTATGAAAGTGTAACATTCAAAATTCAATACGATGGAGCATCTTTTTGATGGTAGATACTGTAGCCGTGAATCTGCAGTCATTTTCCGCTTTCACATTTGGCATTTTGCATTAAACTTTTTCATTTATCTAGTGTACCAAAGAGCAGTTTTGCATTTTCCGTTTTTATTCAGTATCGTCATATTCAGTGCCTGATTTGCATTTGTGTTTATAATCGGGGCAGTCTTATAACACTTTTGACTGGAATTGTGATGGTGAAGCAATATTGTAGGGTTTTGGGTCAGGAGCAAAGTGGTTTATTGTAGCATTTAAAAAAACCGAAGAATCTGGTTTGGAATTAAGAGAGGAAACATATGCTTCTGTTGAAAGCTAGTTTGCTGCAGTATTGAGAGCCAAAACTAAACAAACGGTTTATTTGATGGTGGATCATTACAATAGTTGAATGAATCTTTTAAGTTCAGCACGAGCGTGTTTTTTGGCGGCGTTATTTGTTAAGCTGTTTGCTAATTTTGCTGTGAAATTGAATATAAACATTCAATGCGTTAATTGCTCTATTTTTTTCACGTTTACTATTTTTCTGAAAAAGGAAAGGGATCTAAACGAGTGTTTTCAGGCACGTTTTCGTCGGTCTAATTCTTTTTTTCCCCTTAATAGAGCTTTGTAGATTCTATGTAGAATATGAGTTTGCTTTTGTTAGAGAGAATGTATTTTGCTCAGTTGTCAGAACATTACATCAGGATTAGATATTTTTCATTTCTGTTAGCTAGTAAATGGCTTCTGTTTCTGAATATCTTTTATGTCTGTACCTTGTTATGTAACAAAGCTGTTCCTCAGTCGATGTTTTTACCAGGCATTTCAAACAAGGAAACAGTGCTCGCCTTTAAGTTTATCAGTTTCATTTTAAAAACCGATGAGGGCGGCAGCAAAACAGTTGATGTTGCGGTTTTGATATTTATTATAAAGTTGTTAGACATTGCTTTTTTTAAGGGACTATGAGCGATCGTAGTGTTGAACGCTTATTAAGGAAATATCTTGATAAAAGAGACGATAAGTTGGTAGAAATTGTTGAAAGATGTTTGCGGAAAGGATATGACTATGAAAAAATGAAAGACCGCGTGTCAGATCATCTGCGGGATTCTTCTGTCAGGAAGCGTTTGGTTGAAGCGTTATCTGATTCTTTTCCCCAATTCGCCAGGAAACGGAAACAGCGAGTTGTTTTTCTTTTTGGAATATTTTTTTGTTTTTTTTTTTTGGCTTCGGCGCTGTTTATCCTTTTCCGATTATTTAAATGTTACGCATTTTGAGACTTCACTGACGAAGTTTAGAATTTTAGTTTGAAGAAACCAAAGAAAGAAATGGTGTTAGCGAAACAAGTGAGAAAAGACCTCGATTTGAAGAAGATAAAAAGCCAAAATTTTCCGAAGAAAAAAAGCCAAAAGTGGAGTCATTCTCTGCTGCACCTGTAGCTGCAGCTCCAATTTTGCCCATTAAGGTTGAACCTAAACAACCGAAGCAAGTGACAGAAGAAGTAAGATTTTGGATACAGAAAGTAACAACTGCTTTAGTTTTTGTGAAATTTTAGGAAGGCAGTTTACACATATGGCTTTGTTGGTTAATTCTTTTTAGGAATTACGCAGCAAGGAGCTGATGTACCAAGCGCAGATGGCTATTGAGGAGAGGAAGCGGCAGTTAAATTTGACTGCGAGGCCGGGTATTATAGCCCAAGCTGTAATATCAAAAGTTTCAAAACTGAATACGCAAGAAGCCAGTCTGTTTATGAACTATTCTATGGAAAAGATTAACCGGTATGGAGATTACTTATTAATTCCACCCTTTTACGAAGTCAGTCTACGCGCAAATGATTCATTTTCAGTGTTAAAGAATTGAAAGAAAAAGTTGCTGCTCGTTCATCCCTTCTTTCTTCAGCAGTCAAAAAAGAGCCATTGACTGGTGCTGATAAAAAACCGAAATCTGAGCCTGAGGCCGAACAGAAAGTTATAGAATACTTAGATCCTCGTATAAAGTGAGAACCGTTTTTTTATAGCACGTATCTACTTTAAACCAGTGTTTTCTCTTTAGAAATACGTGTTGTATGGCAGTTGTCGCAACTCATAAAAAGTTTTCAGCTTGAAATCGGCTCAGAGGAAACCACGTGCCTTTGTGTTTCACAACAAAGGTGAGTATGAAACCTTGGCACTTCGTGAAAGAGCTAAGGCGAAATTGGCAATGCTGCAGTCAGAAATAACGCAAATTGCAAAGAAAACCGGAATGTCTTCTTCTGTAAAACTAGCTATGTTAACTCCATCTTCTACCTCAACGGTGAGAAATCTAGAAATCACGAACGTTTTAAACACTTCCTTTAATTATTCTGTGCTTACTTCTTCGTAGGTTAAACATTTAAAAAATAGTTACAGATCCTGTTTTGTGCAATTTTTTATTTAATTGTTTTAAGATCTAGTCTATTGTTGACTTTTTAGTTTTTTATGCTTATCACTTAAATTTAGTGTCTTGTGGTTTCCACATATACTGCCTCATTACCATTAATTTTTATCTTCTCTCGGTCTCTGAAGACTGGTTTTTCTCGACCATTCCCTGATATTTTCAGGCTCAAGACGTCCCAGAAATAGAATGGTGGGACGAGGTAGTTTTAGGTGGCAATAGTTACGATTTGATACCTGGTTCAGATGTAGAATCAGATGAGAAATTTCGTAAGACCATTACTTGTTTGGTGGAGCATCCAATACAATTAAAGCCACCGGATGAGCCCCTCCATCCGCAATATTTAAAGGTTGGTTTAGAAGCTTATTTTTCACTTTTTCACAAAGTTAAACCTTTTTTTTTCGCGCAAGAGGTCAGTACATTTGGTGCAATGCCTATACGGTTAAATTCTACTCTCAAACAAAGTGGTTCGTTAACAGCACCCGTCTAGTTCCCTTCCCCCACGTTTGAGTTGTATCTGGTGTCACAGTTACCAGTTGCAAATTAAGTGGGGAATAAAGTATTTGTCACTCGGAATGAAGTTCTGGAAATAACTAGACAGAGCTTCCAGTGTTGACAAGACATGTACTCATAGGGACTTTTTCAGGTTTATTTGACTGGCAAAGAAAGACGAAAGATAAGACGACAAAATAGAAGAGAAGCTTTAAAGGAACAGACTGAAAAAATTAGGTATTTTCATTACTAGAGAGTTTATACCGTGATTACGGAGGAGTCATTGCTTTACATTTTTTTAAAGGCTTGGCTTAGTTAAAGCACCTGAACCGAAAGTGAAACTCTCAAATCTAATGCGTGTTCTTGGTTCTGACGCAGTGCAAGATCCGACAAAAATGGAAGCTCATGTACGGAAGCAAATGGCCGATCGGCAGAGAAAGCATGAAGCGGCAAATGCTAGCAGAAAGCTTACTAAAGAGCAGAAATCTGAAAAAAAGATTAAGAAAATCAAAGAAGATACTTCTCTTGTGGTTCACGTGGCGGTTTACAAGTATGAATTTCCAAAAATTTTAAAATGCCCTTTTTTTGAGTCTTCAAGAGGTTAAGATTTATTGTTGGGAACTGTCCTTGTGATTCCAACTTGTAGGTCAGCTTAAAGACATTTTTTGCTACTGTGCCCTTAAAAACCCTTACCTTACTGTAAATGAAGTCTTCCAGAGTTAAATCACTCGCTCATCCTGCCAAGAAATTCAAAGTTGAAATGAATGCCCGTCAGTTACATATGACTGGTCTCATCCTGTTGCACAGTAACATTAATTTGGTCATTGTCGAAGGAGGTTAGTTTTCTCTTTGATTTGTCTAGCTTTAAACATACTGAGACCTATCCCTGAATAGGACTTATTCATTTATTCTTTATTTCTGAGAGCAGGTTTCTAATTTTGGCACGGTGATGTTTTCAGGTCCTAAACAACAAAGGAATTTTAAGAACTTGATGTTAAACAGGATAAAGTGGAATGAGGAGATAATTGGAGAGAAGAAAGATAATGTGGATAAGGATGCTCAGGGAGAACGAAACCAATGTACACTGGTCAGTTTTCTGCTCAGTATTGGAAGTATTGTTTGAAATCTTGTTCATTTGAGTCAGGCCAGTACTTGTTTTAATTCTTGTGAGTTTTGTAGAAGTTTACAAGCCAATTTTTGGAACGGGCAGGAGCTGTTACTATTTTAGTGTCCAAATTTTTGAGTTACCTCTTTTTAATGGCACCCCCTGCATTAGTCCTGAGTTGATTTTACGGCGAATAAAGCATCAGGGTCAGGAGTATTTGCCATCAGTAACCCTTGCTTTTTAGTAAGGCACTAGATATGCCACGACTCAGATGAACTTGAATTCTAGATTTGTGAGACTAATGGAAGTTCCCTTCAGATTTGGGAAGGATTGGCGAAGAGACGTAATTTTGGAGAGGTGAAGTGCATGAGTGCAACTTTAGAAAAGCAGGCCAGGGAGCTACTTGAGAAACATGATGCTGCGCATTACTGGGATCTCGCTTACAGTACAACTGTACTCGGAGAAGAACAAACTTGATCTTTAAAACAAGTCTTCCTAAGTGTTGAAACGGGTCCTCGTATTTGTATTCTTTTCCTGTGGGTCGTGACAATAATGTATATATTGTAGTAAACGGAGTTCGTACTGTTAACGCTTTTAGGGGATGAATGGCCGAACTTTAGATTGGTTTAGATGGGAGATGTACAGTCGTTGTTTTGGAGGGATCAGGCATAGATTGCAGAGGGTTTAGTTTGCTGTACCCAGAATTCTGGTGTGTCACCTTCTACTGAAATTTCAAGTGAGTGGTGAGGGGATACACGGAGGACTAGTTCTCTACATTTCTGATAGTAAACTATGGTCTTTACAATTCTGCTATGAGTAGAAATTTATCTTTATTGTTTACGAACTACTCAGTAGTTTCTGAATAGTGTTACACGGCAGCAAATATAGGCCTCTACTACAGACATCACAGACGTAAAAGGGCTGTGCTTTGAAACGTAGTCTCTGTTGCAATGAGCTCTCTCTTGTTTGGCTGTTAGAACGATTTACGAGCGGACTGATCTCTGGGCCACAATTTAACCAAAGTCTAACAAATTTTCTTTTATTTCTTTAACAAATAAATTTGTTAAAGAAATAAAAGAACCCGTCTAGACGCTCAATAGAGCTTATCATTTACATCGAATCTAATTATATAACTAACTATCACCGCTGCAGGCCTCCAAATTCCTTGCCTGCTGTGCGGCTGCTGCTCTAGTCATTATTCGAGTTTGTTGTCTGCGCCCAACATGAGAAGGCACTTGGCTCCCCTGTAAAAATTTTAGAGTAATTCAGCAGTTGCAGTAGCTGTAGAAGTGTGGGTAACGCCTTACCTCCTCAAGTTCACGAACACGACTTCTTAGTGAATAATTCTCATCCCGCAATTTCTTTAAATACTGAATTTTACTCTTATAAGTCTTATTACCATGCATAAGTTCGTTGACGTGTTCTTCTGCCGTATAGCAATCATCCTTAGTCTCCGTTAATTCCTAGAACAACATAACCCCATCCTCTAAGAAACCGCAGTCCACAGGTGCCAATTCTTTCAACTTCTGTCCATTTAAAAAATAAAAATAGTTGTTACTGAAACTGTACTTTCTCCACTTTGTTCACCATTCCGGTTAACTTTGTTATCTCCTCATCTTTTTCTTTTAACAACCGAGCAACTTCATTTAGCGCATCAAGGCCACTAATAAGAGTTGAACGGCGGCGTTTAACCGTACCGACAAGGCTTGCCTAAAGCAAATTTGCAATAGCTCCTCAATGAGTGGGCATTTTACTATACTTACACAGTAGTACTAAAACCCTAAGAATTTTCACTAGTAGTTCTGAAACGACACTTACTAAGCGATCGCCCAAAGTCTGATGTTCCAGTAGTAGCTTTTCATACTGGTCATCTTTCTTGCGCATGATTTCTTCGACATTTGTTCGCTCTTTTGCATTGGCTTTTAAGGCACTTTCAAGCTAAAATTTAAAGGCAAATTCTACTTTAATTTAGTTAACCAAAAATACTGCTACTTCACCTTCGCAAAACTTCCGGAACTAAAAAAAATTTTTTAAAAAAAATTACTTGTTGTCGCAGATCCTGTACTGCTGATCTCTTAGTGTCAAGTTCTGCTGCGCACTTTTCTTGGACAGCTTCTAGTTCAGCTATTTTTGAAATCTTTTCAGCCAACAAATTTGACTGCACATCAAGCTTAGCTTCCGCAGCATGCGCACGTTGGCTTGCGGCATTGGAACGCCCCTACACAAAAATTTTGCAATTAAAATAGGAAATTTTTCACTACAGAACTTCAGAAATTATGCGGGTCTACTCATTAAACCAGGCAAAAACCTTAAAAGAACAATCGTATCACCCGAATGAAAAAACCTGACTTCGAAACTTTTTAACTCTTTTTCTCGAAGAGCAATTTCACGTTGTAAGTTGTCCATTTTGTTCTGTAATTCCAGCACCTCCATAGCATTCTGTCTTGCTTCTTCCTGAGAACTATTAATTATGTTAGGTTTTAATGAAATCTTGATTAAGCTACCAAATAATGAATGGTTGACCAACCTCTCTGCCAGAAGTACGGAGCTTCAAGGTGGTATTTTCTGCTGTCAGCGTTTCGTTAACCTCCCTCAACTCATCCAGTTTACGAGTCAAAGTTGCTTTTTCATTATTTAATGATGAAAGCTGAAAATTCTTATAGATTAAAGAAAAGCGAGCAAACAAGATGATTTTTACGGGCAAAGGTTCCCCGCAAAACTGTAACATCTTCTGGATGGAATTGAAGGTTCCCCGTACACAACCTGCAGTGACTGTTTCTCATTGGCAGTTTTTAAGTGTTCACACATTTGCGTTAAACATTCGCACTCTCTTTGTTTCCCTTCTTTCAAATGAATGTTCTCCTTCTTTAAAGCTGTCACTTCTTCCTGCTGCTGCCTAAGGTCCTCTTCAAGTTTATCATTTTGTTCCGCAAACTTACTTAGTGCATCATTCTTCTCCTTCTCTAAGCTGAAAACACGAAATCAAATAAAAGACATGTAATAATCCCGTCAAGAGAAAAGACGGTTTTTAATATTACTTAAGAAGTTGATCCTGAAGTTCTTCGTTGATTTGCAAAAGGCGATTATTTTCACACTCATATTTCAATCTTTCCTCCTCCCAAATGTTCGCCTAGAACGACAACTAACATTCAAATGTTTTGATTATGATGCAAAAAAATAAAATTAAAAAAAAAAACCTGTGACCTTTAGTACTTCATTTCTAAATCTGAACTTTCTGCAAAAAACAAAAACACTTATTTCTCCTCTTTCCACTACCTTTCTTGAAACAAAGGTTTACTTCTGTATCATCCTCGAGCATTTGTTGTAAATTACATTCTCTATTCTCATCAAACGGCTGCAAAACTGGGCTTCCTGCCTTCCGATCATATGAACTTGTACCCATTGTAAAACGAGTCATACGCCTTTCTTTTTTGATCTGAGCGGGAGTTTTGACCTGAGAAGTAAATGAATTTCTAAAAATTTACTCAAAAGAAAACAATCTTTGCTTTCCCCTAGTTGTTTATTAAGGGATACTGTATATAATGCAAATCACTCAATAGTTCCTTTCTCACTTTAATTCCGTCAAATTCCTGTTTGCTCCCATACTTTCAAAACATGTTTATTCGCCATAGTGTCATACTTCTAATGAGCTATAACACTTACCACTGAAAGACTTTTCCGAATCGCTTCGTAACGAGCCTTCGTAACTTCATGAGCGACACGCTCTTCATTCAGTTGCATCTCCAAACCAGCCAACCTTTCACCTCCCTATCAGAAAACACAGTTATTAAAATTTATCCTAGCGCCAAAGAAAAAAATGTGAGGGGGGGGGGCTAAAACATGTGGCTACCTCACACTTATTCTCCTGATATGTTTGAGAACTGAGTATATTGTCAGCGCTCAAAGAATTCCAGTTTTCTTTCAGATAATCTAGTTGTTCATCCCCTCGTTTCATATAGTCCTCCTTAAAAACAATTATAAAGAATGGTAAATATCCAAAAGATTACCGGTATTACTAATGAAAATTTTAACAAAGCTATAAATCCAGAGTAGGACTAACAATAGCGTTGAAAACGGACTCCGGCGCCTGTTGGTAACGCCGGAGAAGCTCAATGGAGTCATTGCACCTCGAATATCGCACCTTCATTGTTTTTAGTTCCTGTTGTTTCTCGTCAAGCTCTTTCTCATAACGAGCCTGCAGCTCCGCAAATGCATGATCAGCTTCCAACTTCCTACTCTGAACAATACACTTAATGATGCAAGTCCATGGTCACAAGGCAATGCAAGCAACTGGAAGAAATTGATATGCTCCAACTAGACAAAGTAGCAAACTGGAGAAAATGCTACTTAGTATATTGGAAACCTAACCTTTTCCGTTTCCAATTTCAACCTTTCGATTTCCCCTAAAAAACAGTGAAGATGTTATAAGTTTGAAAAAGAGAACAAGGAAAGTATATACAGACGTTGTACCTGAAGCACAACGCGAAGCCGCAAAAGCTGGATGTAAAACTTTAGAATAATCAAAAAACTGTGAAATAATAAATGTGATACTGACGGTGAGCCTCTTCTAATTCTTCTCTCATACGGTGTATTTCCGATTTCCATGCATCCACATTTTCACCAGTTAAATCTTCATTGACTACTACACGATTCCTCACTTTCTTAACTTCCTGTGCGAACCTTAGCGACAAGATAGTTTCTTCCAGAAATCTACAAGTAGAAAGAGGATTTGTAGTGTCCTAAAAGTCAAGTGAATTTAAATTTAGGATCGGCACTAAAAATCTGTAAGTGAAAGGAGAGGCATGAAAAGGTGAAAAGACCACTTGTAAAAAATTTTAGAATAAAAATAACACTCATAAGTTCTACTATTGCGAAGAACATTTCAAGCGCACTTCTTGTTAGAATGAACTGTCACAATCACTGCCGTTTGTGCATTACCGCCCAAGGAATCTTTTAGTAAAAGTGTCAGCGTTGAGTCCCGATATGCTACATAGGAGCCCTGCTTAAAATCAGGATCTGATAACGCACGAATAACCCTTCCAAGCATTAATAACGAACGATTAATGGAAGAGGCCTCCTAAAAGTTACCAATCAAACTTTATCAAATTAAAACCAACAAAATGACATTTCAGTACTTTCAAACGTTCTCCAGAAGACATGGCATCTTTTTGCCGCTCACTCCCAGCCAGGTCAACAAGATTCAGCCTGGAATGCTTGTGAACTGTTATACCACCACTACTACTCGTAGTCTTCACAGTTAATGTTAAAATTGCATGAGAACGAGAACTTTCGGCGTTCATTGCTGTTTCAGCAACATGTCTTCTAGTTAGCCCTTCGTCAACAATCTTAAACAGGACAAACTGTACCGTGAGCGAAGTGATACACATCAAAAGGCTAAACAAAAGCAACTTACTGATATCAAGTCTGAGACCGTGTTTACAACACGCTCCTCAGCACCCATTAAAACCGTGTTCCCATGACCATCAAGATGAATTTCTAAGTTGCTTGAACCTCCATCCGACCTCAGAAGGTCATATAACCTTTCCTTATACAATTGTGCAAAAGTACATTTGACTTCAAAAATAAAAGTATCACCTTCCTAAAAAGAAGAGAAAGTGTTTTTAAAACATGCTTCTTGAGTTGATATTATTGAAGAACTGTAAAACACCTTGTCTTGTAATTCGTTTAGTAAAAGAAAAATCAATTCCGCAGCTCTTGGGATAAGCCCTCTTCTTTCTGGACACTTCTTCATGGTTTCATACAAAGAACCTGGTCCAACCATTGTGTATGTTTTTCCAGAGCCAGTCTGACCATAAGCAAAAATTGTTCCATTATACCCTTCTATACACCCTTCCACTATATGTTTGGCCACCGACTCAAAAACGTCGACCTAGAAAAACATCCACTTTAAACATCTCCACTCTAAGCAAAAAATTAGTCAGGAAAAACTAGCATAAATCTAATTATGCTTCACTGCAAAAAATCTTTATGATCAAAGCGACAAAATTGAGTTTCACTAACCTGGTCTTTGTCCTCTCCCACTGCTAAGTCAAAAACGAAGTCCTGTCCTCCTTCAATACGTACAAGGTTTCTGGAAACAGCACGCACTATTTTCTTTTCGTTGGTATTTGATACCAACTGTAGTAGGGGTCGGATACGAGCAGCGACATGAATATTCTGCCGCTGCATCTTCTAAAAACAAATTTTTGGTAACGATGTATCGTATAAATAAAAGCCACATACTTTACAATTCTAATGATAAAAACTTTATTGTAAGTAACCAAAAGAAAAAAAAAATTACAAAATTACATTACGTCTTTACTCCAAATCCTGCTTCTCAGTTTTCTTAAAACATGCCGAAAAGGATATTAAAATATATTCATGTTAACCAATCCTCAATTCCCTTTAAACATATGAACGTCTTTTATGATACTCCAAGAAACTGTAAGTAAATTGGATTCACCAGGGCGCACTAAGCAATGACCTATTCCTTGAAAGTGCAAAAGCCTTAAACTGTTCAGAGTTATTCTCTTAAAAAGATGGCACTTTTTTTTTAGCAAAAAAATTTAATTATTAAATCCATAGCTGCTCGAAAGGAAATTAGTGGATCTATTTTAAAATGACTGCTTACAATTACTCCGTACCACGCAAGACTTTCCGTCAGAATAGCTCAAACAAACAAAACAACTATAGAAAGGAAGAAAAGTTGAGCAAAAATATTGCTACGTCTGTACAGCTAGTGAAGCATCTGCACATGTTGAGGCAGCGGTGACACGGTGAGTGACTGTCATTGCTTTTTAAACTTTAAAATTTTCCCGCAATTAGCTAAATGCGCCAAATTCAAATGTTTCCATTACCGATAGAGGGCAGTTATCAATCGACGAAAGCTGCAACAAAAAGCAAGTACCCGCATATTACATACAGTTTGTTGGTGCAGTTGTCAGTGGCCAACAAACTACAGCGGGCTTAATTTATCGGTTGTGTTTTATTTACTCTTTGTATACTGCATTTTTTTTTTCTCATTAATTTCAAGTTCCAATTTACGAAGTTGTTATTATATCTTCAACAAAAATCTTAACTACAACGTAGATTCTGATTTCTGTGACAATCACACTCTTTTATGTCATCAATGGTGACAAATAACTGTGACAAAGGGGGCTGTATAACTACAACGACTTCAGTTTTAAATTTTATAACAACTTTATTAAGCGATCTGTTCACTGACTGCCTTATTTCTTTAACTATCGCTCATAATTATAATCGGAAAGACTACTGTGAATAACCTCATATCCTCACTGAGCTTCTGTGACAAAGTCAGCATCAGTTTGATTTAAAGAAAAGTTAAGGACAGTTCATGCAAATCAGAAATATTTTTTTATTGAAAAAAGGAGCAAAAACAAGAATTAAAATTACAGGTACAGAACGACTTAGAACCTACTGCAGGATCCCAAAGCTACCTAAGGGCACAAACCAAAGAAAGCACTAAAAAGAGACTGAAAAGTTGAAACCCGTGCGCCAAAATAATACTCTAATGTAGAATTGTACATTACGGGTCCCCTCACCACTTCTTATATGAACTTGTTAATATGATCTGTTGGTTTTCTGAAAGCTTCCCTTCGGGACACGATCAAAAATTATGATCTTTGAGCTTTGATTACCTTTTTCACGTACAGATACGATAATCATTTTATTTTATCATTCAAATTATGTTTAA